TCTTCATCAAGCTACTTATGGCCATTAATGAATGTAGACCTTTTCAATAAATGTGTACCAATTGACATACCTATATTTCTTAGAAGAGCTACCTGCATCCATCATTGAGTTACTATGCTGCATGGGCAAATGAATAATTGAGTGAAGATGTAGAAACCTAAGACTGAAACTAAAATTATATTTGCAATTTCTATTCAGGTTTTGTCATCTTTCAGTTGCCAAAGCCTAATCTATCTTGTGATAATTTGTCATTAAGATTATGTAGAAATGAAATGTCTAATAATACTATAAATAGCTGAAACAATTCCATCACTTTTTTTATCGTCTTAACCCATGTCATATAAAATAAGGAAATATTTGACCTAAAAATAACACTCTCAACCCAGAACTTTGCTATTTATATGTGTTGAACAAGTGGTATTTCTTCTGATTTATGCAATCAAGAACTACGTCAAAAATTCTACGACTACAATGCCTTCTTTTTTTGCCATAGCGTAGTTTCTAGTATATAATACAACGTACGAATAATATTTTTTTTTACATTTTGCAAGCGTATTGTCATAAATAATTGAAATATGAGGAAAGTTATAGTTAAATTATCTTACAGGGTATCATCTCCAGACAAATCCCACGGTTAAGTCACTTAAAATACAGATCAGACACGTAAATATAACACCGAACTAGCACACACTGAAATGGCTACAAACATCGAAATTGTAAAGACTTCACTAAACACTCATACTGCTCTACACTAAATGGAACGTGAGATAGATTTTAACGCCATGAAGTACTTCTATGAATGCACTTTCCAACAGCTTTTACTATCACACGGCCCCTACTATATGCAAGTAGTACAAACAGCATGAAAAATACTTGGTTACTGACGTACGTACTTTGCACAGGGAGCGGTCGAAATGTTATCAGCGGCGCCGCTCAAAAGGCCGTTGTAGCGTCATACACTCACTGTCAGCACCAGATAATATCACTTAATCCAATCCTTTTATAACAACTTTGTCACATAACACTTAAAGAATCACATTAAGCGACAACGAAGCGAAATTTACCGAGCCTTCTCCCTTCAGCTTATAATGACCATAGACAACAACAAAATTAATAGTTTTCATCAAATGTTGTATGCAAGTAAGTGAAAGAACTCTTAGGTATTCAGCCAATAATTATGTAATATATTCAAAACATTTCTAACAAATAACAACTAATGATGAATTACATACATGTGAGAAATATTAAATTACTAAACTATTTGTTTAATACACAAATAGACAAGTAAAAAGTAAAACTCTGTCTTTAATTGAAGTTCTAAAATGATTACTAAGTATAGTATATAATTGTAGCATACTAGTACAAGTTATATTTTATGTAAAGGTTTGCTAAATAATAATTGTGTAAATTATTACTCTTGAATCCATAAATAATTATTGAACATATGAAAATTATTCATAGACAATCTGATATACTTTTAGCAAAGATGACCATAAAACACTGATCTCTCAAAAATATTCTAATATGGATATGTTTCCGTTCGGATATCCACACAGAAGCATATCATGTAGCAATTATTATATTTTGTAGATGTATATGTACGTTTTAGTAAATAATCTGTTTTTATGTATTCTGAACAACTATTTATTTATTTTTATTAACCTTTATTACACACCTTATAATAAGGGTTATAAAGGGCGGTGTTAATGCCTCTAGTATATATACAGTAATCTATACTAATTACATTAATTACCAATCAACTCTGGATGATTTAAGAAACTGTGGCAGGTGTAAACAATCACTTCCTAAATTTAATAAATAAGTAAAAAAGATACAATAAAATGTAAATAATTAGAATATAGTTAGTAAAAATATATATGCTCAATATAGTAGGCTATATAATAAGGAATAAATAATAAATATATAAAAGCGTATTAATATACAAAACCTTTGTATAAATAAAATAATATAATACGAAAATAAAATAACGCGATACATATTAATATACATATAAAAATATCACTTACAAAGCGAAAGGGAGAGAAAATCAAAAGCTGGATAAGTCAGGTGGTATTACTCCTATGATAGAATTCTCGAACTAGTATTTTAAAATAATTCTTGTAAGTAACTTTCTTGATATCAACAGGTAGGGTATTCCAAATCAGTATGGACTGCTCAGTAAAAGAGGCATTAAAGAAACCACCCTTATATACAAATTTAAAGACTATTTAAGGAACGCGGAACTCTATTGGAAGTAGAACTGGTATTAAAAGTTATCCTTGAAATAAATAATTTACACTTAAATATAGTACTTGTAAAATTCGGCAGCCACGCTTTTGTCAAATAGAAAGTGATTTAAGCTTCGAAATGTACTGAGAAACATAGTCATTCTTACGTAAGCCGAAAATGAATCTATTGCAATTGTTAAGAAAGCGTAACTTGAAACTTATCTAAAAGATATGCCAAAATGGCCAATATCAAAGACTGGATAAGTAGAAGTTTAGTTTTAAAAGGTAGAAAGTTTATGAAACGACAAAGATAGCAGTAACTGCTTCAGCAACTTGAACTCCCCAGCTTAACGTATGGTCTACATGTAAGCCAAGATTTTGACAGAGTTACAAAATGGCAGCAACGTTCTATTGTAAAATAAAAGTAGCAGCACAAAAGTCTAACGGTGACCGTTATTGGGCATATGTCGAAAATAAGGTATCATGGGGTCAAACGGGTCATGGGGCGGGCGTGCATCGTGCGCATGCACTGATTAGCTCGTGTTTATCGTTTGCATGCGCTAAATGGCTCTCCAGTCGCATATGTTCAATTCAATTCGTGCGCGACAGTACCCATGCGCAGCTATCCCCTCCACGTTTCGTTCAACACTAGACTTACGTGCCGTGACTTATACAGGAGAACGATTATCGTTGTCTATCTTAGTTAACAATGTTAGCCTAACATCCTGCTATTACGATTAATCTCTTATGGAATTAAGCTTGAGGCTGTATTTATTAATATTATCGTTAAGGTCATTAACACTAGACTGCACATAGAGCTGAAAATCATCTGCATAAAGATAGTACGAACAGTTGAGAACTGAAGTGATAGAGTTTATAAATAAAGAAAGCATAATAGAAGAAAATATTCCGCCTTGTGGCACGCCTAATTCAACGTCAGTCCATATTAAAAACTCTAGTCCTAATCTTGTTCTACTAATTGCTGGCGGCCACGTAGATAGAATGAGAACCATTCCAAAGCTATGTTGGAGAATCTAATATTAGTTAGGAAGGCTATAAGGATATGGACATATCGCTAACTATGTTAAAAGCATTTGAAAAATCAACAAGCTACCACTGTAAGCTTCTTCTCACCCAAACCCTACTCCATTTATTTATTTCCCACAATTTGATTGTACACAGCTTAAAGAAATATACAAATTTTGTGTGGGGGACTGGTATCCAAACTAGGTACAAACCTGTATTATGGATCACCAGGTCTTCACCCCTCGGATAAATACAATATTTGTACTAAGGAGATACAAATAAGAAAGAAATAATGCAATTGTTTCCGCACGTTTGGGTGTGTGTATGTGTTTTATAAAAGAAAAGCATAAATGCAATAAATTAATTACATTATACGTAATATTCATTTATATTAAGCCGTTTTGTCAGCGCATGCGAATAAAGCAGTCAATTAGCTCACTTTTCTCGAACTCGAATTTTAAAATATACTGAATTCAAATTTTCTTATTTTTAGTAAAATGTCAAAATACATATTATTTAAAAAAAATTGTTGGTTATTTAATTTTGAAATACCTTTAACATTCATTGCTATGCAAATGAATTTTACAGGTGATGATGCTCTATACACCGGCCGTGCGATTATTTCTCGGGAAAAGTTGCCGAATACCGGAACAAAGTTGTGTCTCAAATCGAGTCTTTGCTGAACAAAGTCTTGGATTGGGGGCGACTAAATCTAGTCCAGTTTAATCCTCAGAAGAAACAAGTTTGCGCCTTTACCGCTAAAAACAACCGCTTTGTCGTATCTCCTCAGTTTCAAGGCACTCCCCTTGTTGCCTCAGCCAGTATCTGAATTCTCGGCGTTGACATATCGAGGGACGAAACGTTGGAATCTTAATTTTTAGGCCCTAGTAGAACATACCTCGTGCTTTGTGCTTACGGCATGCAATATTCTACTTCTCGATATCGAGCCATTTATGTCTGATGTATATGATGATAATTATGTATGTAATGTCATTAAATGGTTAACGTCGAAACTACAAAACTTTCAGTTGTAAAATTCTCATGTATACTTTGCTCTTAAGCCTAAACGGAATAAAGTTCCGGACAACAACGTGCTCATAAAGAATCCGTTTCGTTCCCTGTGAATGGAACCCTAAAAATAATACAATTTATTTTATTTACATTTTTTAAATTAGCACAAGAAAAATTTTAGCTTCTGAGCTTCTTACAAGCAGTGGTTATTTCATTTATACCTGCTAAAATATTTTGCATACCCCATTTAATTTCACGCAAATCAATTATTTCTTTTATAATTTTAATATTATAAGGACTCAAGTTTTCTGCTTCATTTAATTTCAAATTTGTATACACACTTTTAAAGTTTTAGTTTTTTAAAAACCGTATCGCTTGAAGTATACCTACTACCTAGTCAGAATATTCGATAATGCTGATGCGCGTAACCGAACGGATATCTTACAGTTCTCACACTTTTGTTGTTTTTGTGTAGAAAAGGAAATTTGTGAGAAGTATCCATCCCATGTGTATTGGTGTACATACATATATTATGTATGTTGTGTTGTGTGCGTGGTGATTTGTGTTATATGCTCATAGAAAGAAATTAATTATATGACTATATTTTGACGATGAAACTTACATAAATGTGAAGAAATACTGTGTTTTGTGTTATCAGGTGCTAGTGAATCCGTCAGGAGGCGGTAATCATGTAGGTTTGCTTGCTATTTGTGGATTCTGGATCTCGTCTTGTCGATGTACCATAAACAAAAATGTCAGCGATCCCGATTTTTTGTTTCTTGTTGCATACCCATCGTTATACCTTAATTAGATCACACGAATGATATAAATTATTGCTAGACACTTTCTCTGACAATGTCGTCTCGTCCAAACGGCGTGCCTTCGGTAATAAATCGGCCATAATAAGCGTGCGTTTAGTGTGCTTCGCGCCCGTCTACACCCGACCTATCTCATTGTTTATGTATGGAGAGTAGACCTGGAATTTTTATGGCGTTGACGGTGAATTCTCGTTTTAATTGATTAGCTGGATACGATCAGGGCCTGGAGACGACCGGCTGCGGCGCGGGTACGCGGGGCGCCGATAGCGTCTTCGTCCAAGGTTTCTTGAAATCTCTATTTATAATAATTTCTCGATCGTTTGCTGCAGTATAATGACATTTTTGTAATGAAGTGCCGCGACGTGGATTTGTGGGACATGTGCCAATAATTTCGTCTGTGACGAAAGCCCCGCGGCTGACGGGCTGATCGTGTTGTATGTATACAATGGCCTTAGATTTCTGTTTACATGATTCTATCAGTAGTAACCATTTTTCGTTCTATTGTGCTTTTAACCTTTCATTTGCAAGTTTTTTAAACGTAATTTCTGTTAAAAATAATATTAACTAGTTTATCAAATCATTATTGATATTGTTGTATTTAATTATTTCTTGTTAGGCATTGGACATGTTATCCAAATTAGGTTATCGTATAAAACAAATTTCTACAATATTTTAAAATATAAATATTGATGGGTTTTGTTAGCATTTGCATGACCTAAATTTTATTTTATAAAACAAATGTCTGGCAAAAGACATTTAATTTTATTTGAACTGCTTGCTGCCATATGATTATATTTTATACATTTAAAAGTTATTGTCTTTGTATTTCTTCATTAGTCTAAATTTCTTTATGGATTTTGTTACAATTATTATAATCACTTAACACAGTAATAGAATTTTCCTTTACTCCTATTAATTCTATTTTATGATAATATGGCTTTATCAATATTAATTTTTTATTTCAGAGTGCCACAATTTTTGAAGATAGTTTATTTTTAGTTCATAATAGAAATATTAAATTTTAAAATGAATAAAATTTAAATGGTTTTGAATATTTTAATGAATGAGTCAGTTAAGTAACATCTGTTAATTATCTTTATTTTAAACATTATTAACAAACACCTCTTAAAGAAATATTAACACCTTATTATTTATTTACCTATAAGTAGGCCTATTTATATTATGAAATCAATTGAATATTTTAAATCCAACCATTCATTATAGCCTATAAAAGTCCACTGCTGAACACAGGCCTCGCTTTTATTGCCTCAAAGGATTTTGCCATAGTTGCCACACTTGGCAAGTGGGTTGGCAACCACAGTTTTTATTATTTTAAGCTGTTATCAGGAACATGCTGCTGCCCATATCTTGTTTCGGTTTCCCTCTGATGCCTCATATGCCACCCACCAGATGATATGGGGTAGTGGATATTATACACTACAAACAAGCTTCGACACTACAAAAAGAAGCAAATTCAAATTAAATTTTTATTCAATTTATTAATGATGAATGTGTCACCTGCCCAGTTATACTCTGTTCGTTTAAGCATGAGGTTATACTTAAACAAATTTTAAAATGGATGCAATTAAGTGATGATTAGAATAAATTCAAATATATTAATCGAAAAGTTTAATTCAAATTTAAAGCACAAAGTTAATGATAAGTGTCACAGATAATAAGTTCCTTAGATCTATGAAGATGGAGGAGATTCAGTCTGAACTAACAAAAAAATTTATTATATTTTTTCTTTTTCTGTAATAATATCACAGGTTATGATAGGCCAAAAGTAATGTATTATAAAAATCTTATACCAAAGTGATCAAAATATTTTTTTAAAATATTTGGTAAATAACTTCAAACTGATCTGACACCAACTTAATATAATAAAATATATAAGATACTAAACTGTTAAATACCACTAAACGGGGGTACTACCATAAGGATTATAACTAATAATCCTATTAAACTTATTCCTATTAAACTTAGTATCCTATTAAACTTAATAGCCACATTAATACCAGAAAAACATCTAAACAAAATTTTAAATTAATAATATGAAAGATGCATAAATGGCACAAACATATCCTTAATATTATATACAAATAAATCAAAGAGTTCTATCTGTAGAAAGAATATTAATCTGATTTTTAAAGAAAATTGCTAATAATAAATTAAAGTACTGCTTTCACTTAAATTTTAATGCTTTAACAAACTAAATTACATTATGACTTGTAACAAAAGACATCAGTACAGTAAATAAGTTGGAAATGATTTTTATAGACACGGTAAATATACAAAATGATATTAATGTTTATTGCACTTATTTTATACTACTACTGATCATATGTATTATACAAGTTCTGTTGACATTACATATTAAACCATGCCATGGTAAATAAAAGTATTTCGGCTTCACAGCCTATCATATAAATTCATAACTCTGTTGGTAATTCCTTTAAAGACAAATTTTTCCCTTTTTTCGGAGCAAATTTACAATTATTATCGTATTGTACCAGGGGTTAAAAAAAAATTCCTAGAGGTGTGAGGATGCAGCTTGCTATAGCATTGTCACACTATTTAAAATTGTTTCACAAATAGTGAAAAGTGTTGGCAAAAATTATTTGCTTTTGAGTATTCCAAAAAAAAAGAGATATCTTTTCAAAATTTAGATTACCCAATTAATACTCATTTATCTCGACCACATCCTAAATTTGATATAAAAAAAAATTGAGTCGAAAGATGGCGACTTAAAAATGCATCCTGTATTTTATTTGTAGACGATATCCTGGCTCCTCGTAATGTCGAAACTCTTGAAAGCCTTCAAATGGCTCTGCTGGCGGCATTGACGCAATAACGCCTCAACATCTTAAAGATCTTGTAAGCGCTTTTGCCGGTCACGACGGCGGATTACTTCTTAATGACATTACAAAATTATGTAACTTAATGCTTTCTGGTAATGTTGATCCAAAGTTCATTGCGTTCTTATATGGGGCAAGATTATATGCCTTCAAAAAAAAGGATAACGGTATATGTCCTATTGCCGTTGGTTCTACATTTCGATGCTTAACTTCAAAATTAGTTCGCAGGCATATAATCTCTAACCTTAAGACAAAATTTCAGTCTACTCAACTAGGCTTTGGCACTAGAGATGGCTGTGAGGCGGCGGTACATTCAGTGCGTATATTTTTAACAAACTGATGCAGATGTTCTTGTGAAGATTGACGTAAGGAATGCTTTTAACTTTATCGATAGGTAACCCTGCTGAAAGAAGTGGCTAACAATCCCCCGAAATTTATTATTACATTTGGCAATTTTACAGTCAAAATACTAACTTGTTTTACGAAAACCAAGTTATGGATTCTGCTGTCGGTGCTCAGCAGGGTGACCCAGTAGGTCCAGCACTTTTTAATTTCGTAATACAACCGAATATTTCAAATTTGAAATTCAAACTGAATGTCTGGTACCTGGACGACATACACTGGAAGGTAGAGCAGATGACGTCCTCTTATTCATATTATAAATATCTTACTCATATTTTTCGAAATTTTCAAAATATTGGTCTTGAACCAAATAGCAATAAATGTGAAATATTTTTTTCCAATAATTTATCTACTTCTCACAGAGACACTTTAATTCAAAATTTCAATCATATTTCTCCAGGAATAAAAACTGTCAGTACGGAATCACTATACCTGCTAAGTGCCCCGTTGTTTTTTGATAGTATTAAACCTGTTTTAAAAACAAAATTTGATCAGTTTTTAAACCACATTGATAAATTGTATAAATTAAACCCCAGCATTGCTCTTACTATTTTAAAATATTGTCTCCTTGTACCTAGATTTACATACTTTGCTCGAGTCCAGTCTGGAAATGTTAGGATATTTTAAAAGATATTGATAATAATCTTAAAATAACTATAGAAAAAATTCTAAATTTAACTTTAAATACAACAGCCTATAAAATTACCTATAAAATTTGGTGATATTGGTGTGAAAAATCTTTCCTAGCGTTGCATTGCCCGCTTTCCTTGCTTCCGTGCATAGTGTCAGTGATTTATTTATCATAGTTATAAATAATAAAGTAGACCTGTACTTTGCTACGGAGGCAGCGCAGACATGGCAAACGCTCTGTCCTGGCGAAAATGTTTCACTGGAAGTTAACCAAAAAAACAGTAAGATATTCCGTTGGTACAGAACATACAGTAAGATTTGTTTCATAATTTCCATAATGACCAAAAATGAGGCACGCCTAATAGCTGTTTCGACTAAGGAATCTAGTCACTGGTTACACGCTTTACCATCAAGTAATCTCGGCACATTACTTGATGGGGAAAGCTTGCGCATCGCCGATTAGGAGCGGCGATTTGTCAACTCCATCGTCGACAAGTTTGGGCTCATGTAAGAATATTGCTGGTAGGTTTTCACGGCATGGTTCTTTGAACGATGTCATCCGAAGGGCTTTTGTCTCTATAAATGTTCCCTCGGTTTTAGAGCCTTGTGGAATATATAGAGACGATGGCAAGAGACCCGACGGTATGACATTGGTCCCTTGGGAGAGAGGTAAAGCCCTAGTGTGGGATGCTACTTGCATAGACACTGGCGACCTCTCATCTCAGGGGTACCTCGTTTAGAGCCGGGACGGCATCAGAGGCAGCTGAACTGAGTAAGTGGCGCAAATATGAGTCTCTGAGAGATGATTACATATTTGAGCCATTTGCTGTAGAGACTATCAGTCCGTGGGGTCCACTTGCAGTGAAGTTCCTAAAGGAACTCCATCCGCGGCTGGTCATTGCTGCTGGTGATAAGAGTTCTGGTTCTTTTCTCGCTCAAAGGCTAAGTATAGCCATTCAACAGGGAAACGCAGCCAGTATTTTTGGCACGATACCGCAGGGAGTGGGACTGTTTGATAATTAAATTACTAGTTTTATTTTTTTTATTATAGTTTTTAATATTGTATATAATAAAATATTGTATATTATGTTATGTAAATAAATGTTATAAATATTTAAACATAAATAACCAGTTTGAAAAGTCTCAGTCTGTCTGTCTGTCAAGGCTAATCTTCGGAATGGCTGAACTGATTATGATGAAACTTTGAGGATTGATAGAGAACGTTTAGAAGAATGATCTAGCTATATTTTCATCATCATTATAATCATCATTACATCCCTTCACAAGTCCACTGCTGAACATAGGCCTCCCCCAAGGAATGCCACAAAGCACACCATCCTATATATATATACACATTGACTTCCTGTATGTCTTACCAGGTCGTCACTCCATCTAGTGACTATATATTATATGAAAAATATGGAGTATTTTGTTTTGTTTAATTAAAAAAGTGAAAAAATAATGCAATTATTATATAGGTTTTTTTTAAAGTTATATGTGAACAAAGTCACGGTTAAAAGCTAGTTATAAATATGTCACATGCTTTGATACTTTCCTAATTATTGATACTAGTAATCACTGATTTTATGTGTTGTGTTTTATGAAATGTGTGTAGTTGAGCAAAATAAACTTTTATTAGTGCATATTAGTACAAATGTCTGACTATCTTAATCTGTCCACAGTCAAGTTGGCGAAGGCACGTAGGGGTATGATCAAGGAGAAGGAGAAGGGCGGGGGCGCCCGCATCAAAGACGAACCCAACGATCCTGCTGAACCAGGTAAAGTTGATCTTCGAACAAAGTCTTATTAACTAGTAAATTAGTAAAAGAACAAAAAAAACATGTGTGCAGTTCACACGCAGTAGAAGTGGAACCTTCAGAAAAGAAGACAATAACACTGTAAACTGTATTCTATCTCATTCTCTTGCAGGCTAAATCCTATAGATGTATAGGTATGCTTGTCTCTTTTTTGTGTCACTTTTTCGTTTCATCGAGTATCAAATCACAATGATTGTAAAGAAGTTACCACATCAAAAACTTAACTACATCATCATCATCATCATTACAGCCCTTCACAAGTCCACTGCTGAACATAGGCCTCCCCCAAAGAATGCCACAAAGCACGGTCCTGAGCCACCTGCATCCAACTTAACTACAGTGATCTTAAAATAATAGATTTATCAGAATGTACTTCAAATGCCGCATTTTTTAATATGTATATAAAATCATTGGTTCATCTGTTAGAGATTGTGTAACTTTTGGATGACTTGACCAATTTAGATTTACACAATATATTTGTTTTGTCGAAACGACGGTTTATAGCTATGGGCGTTACGTACTAGTGGCGTCGTAGTCAAGTTAATTACAAATTTATATTAATGAGCCAAAATAACTCATATTTGCGATATAATATGTTGGTTTAGTGCCCAAATAAGAAAATCACAAGGATCCAATAGGCGGTGTGGTGGTGAAGTTGTTGATAATTTTTATATTTACACAGTTAATTGTCCGGTGTGAATTTGGTGTGGAACTAATTACATCACTTTCTGGAAAGAATGGAACAAAATCTGCTGGGACAATTACCTAATAAGTAGCCTATGGTACTTAGGATATTAAGCTCAAACTAATGGCAACTTGTATATTCCTCAAGCCGTATACTATACTATTACACACATACACTTGGTGATAGGGGAGTAAATAAAATGAAAAATGTGTGATATACTTATTTTCACCATTAAACAAATTAAATTAAATTTTCCTTTTATTTCTATAATCATCATAGTTATTGCTATCTTAAAGGTTCAAACAAATTTAAGGGCATAGCTTGTTTATACTTTATTTATTGTGTACTATTGATATTTAAAACTAGGTAGCTCTACCACAGCAGGCTGGCCTTTTCTGTCTAAAATTAGGCTCCATATTCTTATCATTCTGCATTCCAATTTAATAGATATCTATTAAATTGAGGAGATCTAGATGTATACTATAGTATAGACTGTGATCCATTCCATCATAATATAGTCTTAGCGCCCTTTTTTGTTTGATATTGGTTACAGGTTGTCATGGGGTAATCTATACTACAAATAAATAAAATTGAAGTGTCTGTTTGTAATGTCAAAAAAACAGCCTTTTAGTTAATACATATGAAAATATATACAGTACTTACAACAAAAATACAATTTTTAAAATTTTTGTCTGTCTGTTTGTTCCGGCTAATCTCCGAAACTGTTGCACCGATTTTGACAGGACTTTCACTGGAAGGTAGCTAATGTTATAAAGAGTAACTTAGGCTACTTTTGTTTTAGAAAAATAATTAGGGTTCCGTGTAAAAAAAATTAAACCCATAAAATCCAATCGTTATAAATTCCACGCGGGCGAAGTCGCGGGGAACAGCTAGTTTTTTTATAATATCCCTGCAGAGACAAACACTTACAGTTCACCGGTTGGTAAGTGTCTAGTGCAGACCATGGAGGACACCTGTAACTTACTTCATATAAAGTTTTTTATTAAACTGGCTCTCTATACCCTTTAGAGAGGAACATAGTAGTGCAGGCACTGCTTGGCGGCAGAAATAAGTAAAATGGTGGTACCTTCCCAGATGGACGCAGAAAAGATATCCTAGTAATTTTTTATAATCAGCAGGTCAACTACTGGTCACTGGCCTCCCCCTTGTGATGATTTGCCTTAAATAGCTGTAAGTACTAAAATAATATGATGCCATTAAATATCACCTCGGTAACTGTCTATCTGTTAGTCATTATTATCCAAAATTATTTAACTTAAAGGTGATTGTATTTAGGTGTTCAAATTATAGCTACCCAAATATCGCACTTCTGATCCACATTTTTGTGTCGGATCAGAGCTCAATATAATATTCCTAATATTGTTTAAAAATGAAAGCGTTATTTCACCTTCTAAGACACCAAAGACAACGATTTTTTTTATACATTGATACCTTAGATTGATACATAGAAATATTAAATGTTTATGCAAAAATCATATTAATGATACGCAAAAGTAGTACGTTACTACATGAATAGAACAGAATAGTATAGGCGTCATGAAGCTTACATCCAGCGACTCGAGCATGACGATGACGCTCTGTGGACACAATTTATCAGATTCGTAGTTTTATACCAGCGGACGTACTAAAAGCGTATAATGACGAATACTCGTGTGGCTTAGCCTCATAAAAGTTAGGCCTGTTATACGACCTAATAGCACGGGACACTGAATGTGCTAGAACGACTTGCACTTGTCCGGTTTTTTAACGATTCAAAATTACTCTTTTCTACAGTAAAAATAATAAAATAAGAAGATAGTTGTAATAAAGATACGTGCATACTATAAATAATCAAAATATAATCATATGTATAGTAGAAAGGCACAGTAACGTTTATCTTGCGTGACATCGTCCTTCGAACGTTCTATGTACCTACAATTGAAACCTTGCTTTGCTGCTAGATGGCGTTGTATTATAATATGAATAAACAACTTAATACTGAGAAGTACATTATGTAGTCGATAGTCGTAAATTATTAATATGTTCCGTCCCGGGGATGTCGTAGAAATGCCAAAAATATTATGGGTTTCCGATAGACAGCTGTATGTATTACCGCCTATTAAAATTCACTGCTGCAAGTCTCAAAAGGATGATATTTGCGAGAGTTAGGTACCACGATTAACGGGCGGGTTGGTAGCTACGCAGTTTTTTTATTTTCTAGTTGTTACTTTTTATTAGGAAGACGCTGCTGACGATCTCCACGGGACTATATGGGGTAGTGAATGTTATTACACCGCCACTACATGGCATGATCTCGTTAACGCCAGCAGGGCTAGCATGGGCAGGAGACAATTTTATCCCGGGGAAAAGGAGAAAATGCTTATCCCTCGCAAAGTTCTCTCCTCGAGCTTGTGCATACCGTTGGTTGTAATATCCACAGTAGATAAAATGGGAGATATACTTAGACTTTTATATTTTTTGTATGAATATAAACTTAAACCCAGGTCCAATGAACTAGGATAAAATAGTCCCTTTCAAATGTCAAAAAATATATAGCATAATTTTTTATCTTTCCTATTTGGCTCTATGCTACGGACGGGGGATATATTTCTACTCGTTATGTCAAACGGGGATATACTTCTCTCCGTTATCGTGGTTTGGCATAAGGACAAGATAATTATATCTCTTGTCAGTGGATATAATCGGGGAATAAATTTTTTTGTACTCAGCGCATGCTAGCCGTGCTGGTATAAAATATCCAGACTGGCGAAGGGAAGTAACGTCAAAGGTGCGAAACTTCTGGATATGCGATCGTCAATCCGACTGCCAAGCGTGACGATTAAGGCTACAATGCGAAAGGACCTCGCAGAACACCAGCGTAATGTAGCAGCTTAATGCTGCTGTGTTTCGTATGGTGAGTGTAGAGAACCGGAGACCCTTTTTACTGGAAAAGAGGCATTCCATCTTAGTCCTCACGACTGACAACGCATCTGCATTTTGATTCGCAAAGGAGGATAGATGTAGATGTCTATGGGCTACAGCAACCACTTACTATCAGGTGAACTGTGTGCTCGGTTCTAGATGTAGGTATACTTTGCCAGCCGATGAAAAAGTAGTAGAAGAGTTCATATTATATTTGACATCTGCGCACCTGAGCGTCGCTCTAACTGCTTCGTTTATTTAGAGGCTTGGGGACCCATAATCAAGCTGAAACTGGTAATAGTGTAAGTCAATCGTAGTCACGAAGACCAAATAGGTCTAACCGATATTGTCACAGGTTCGGGAACAAAGAGCTTACTTTAAAGTGTACACGTAAGGTAAATTATCAAGTGTTTTGCCTGTCAAGGCTTTTGCCATTTTGTCATTGTCAGATATAAAAGAACAATGAAAATACATCTATACACACATATTATGAATAAAATTGAAGTGAATGTCTGTAATATTGAAATAATTGCCTTTTATCGAGCTCAGGCGATTATTTGCATGCCACTAAGACATGAATAATTTTTGTCTGTCTCTCTGTCCGAGCTAATCTTCGTAATGGCTGAAACGATTGTAATGAAACTTCACAAACAGGATAGAGAAGCAGTGCCAGGAGTGATCTGGATATATATTATTTGAAAAACTTGGATAATTAAAAAAAATGACGATAGACTACGAGTATGTCTTTGATTATCTTAAATCTATATAACACCACGTTAATAGATCCTACCCAGGCGAAGCCAGGGCGGGTCGCTAGTATTGAATAAAATTAATTTAGTAGATTTTATCTCGTTTAATTTTAGCCGACTTCAAAATAGGCGGAGGTTCTCAATCAGACTATCATTATTGGTATGTATGTTTCGCGATATCTCCGGCAATTGTGAATCGATTTTGATTCACAATTATTTTAATTTGATTATTTTTAACCCCCGACGAAAACAGAGGGGTGTTATAACTTTGTGTTGTGCGTCTGTGTGTCAATCTGTGACATCATAGCTCCGGAAATCGTATCTAACAATCATATTAAACATATTTTAGTATCAAAATACGTACTTATAAAGTAATATCCACTTTTATTTGTAAATCACAGCTTAGATCGTGTCTTTCGTACGTTCTTAATTCAGTAGCATACTTAGCTCCATTTTATAAAAAATGTCGGTTAGTACCATTGACCTCCAAGACGACGCGCGTCGTTATTATTCTTTTTGGGTCGACTGAATGTTCCGACCGTGTTACTTTTTGCATTAAAAAAAATTAAAAATATGTTGACGAGCTTGTAGCTTTGTGCTTGGTC